GGGCAGAGCCCTGGCCAGTTTGGCTCAGCAGTTAGAGTGTTGGCCTGCAGACCACAGTTTTGGGTTCGATTCATGCTAAGGGCATGCACCTCAGTTGCCGTTTGTCCCCAGCCCCAGCTGGGGTCGTGAGGGTAGCAACCAGACAATGTATCTCTCACATCTCTCTCTCTCCCCCTCACCCCTTCCTTCCTGTATCTGAAGATAAATGCAAAACTGTCCTCGGGTGAGGATAAAAAATAAAAATGGGCAGAGTACCTAAATAGACACCTCTCCAAAAAGAATGTACAAATTGCCAAGAGACATATGAAAAAATGCTCAACGTGACTAATCATCAGAGAGATGCAAATTAAAACAACTATGAGATATCACCTCACACCTGCCAGAATGGCCACCATCAACAAATCATCAAACAATAAGTGCTGGCAAGGTTGTGGAGAAAGGGGACTCCAGTACACTCCTGGTGGGAATGCAGACTGGTGCAGCCACTATGGAAAACAAGATGATGTTTCCTTACAAAATTAAAAATTGATCTGTCATTTGACCCAGTGATCCCATTTCTAGGAATATATCCTAAGAAGCCTGAAACACCAACCAGAAAGAATATATGTACTCCCATGTTCATAGCAGCACTATTTATAATAGCTACGATCTGGAAAACAGCCCAAGTGTCCATCAGTAGATGAGTGGATAAAAAAGCTGTGGTACATGTACACAATGGAATACTATGCAGTTGTAAGAAAGAAAGATCTCTTATCCTTTGAGATGACATGGAAGGACCTGGAGAGCATTATGCTAAGTGAAATAAGCCAATCAGAGAAAGGCAAATATCACATGATCTCACTTATTTGTGGAATATAATGTACAAAAAAAGCCGATGAACAAAATAGACCCAGAGACATAGAAAGGAGTATGGTTCAGACTGACAGACCTCTGAGGAGGGGGGTGGGGGGATTGATGAGATAAACCAAAGAACTTATATGCATGTATGCATAACAAATGAACATAGACAACAAAGCTGGGCGTGGGGGGGAGCAGGGTGGGGAGGAGGGTGTCCAGGGGGAGAAAAGGAGACACATCTGTAACAAATATAAGTTAATAAAATATTGAAAAAAAACCAACACACAAAAAACCAACCCAATATCTACTCCTGATTAAAAACTTAGGCAAACTAGGAAAAGAAAGGAATTTCCTCAACTTGATAAAGAGCATTATAAAATATATACAGCTACTATTATACTTAATGGTGGAAGACTCAATGCTTTCCCCTAACATGAAAAACAAAGTAAGGATGTCTCATTACTTCTATTTAGCTTTATAATGGAGGTCCTAGCCTACTCAGTATGTCAAGAACAAAGTTTAAATGCACACAGATATGAAAGGAGAAAATAAAACTGCCTCTATTAGCATCTGACAGGATTGTATGTGTAGGAAATCCAAAAGAATGTTCAAAGAAAATCTATGAGGACTAATCACTGGGTTTCAGTATACAAAATTAGTACACAAAAATCTATTGTATTTCTATATATTAGTAGTGGACAATTGAGAGTGAAAATTAGAAAACAATAGTAAAAAATGAAATACATAAGAATAAATCTCACAAAAGTTATACAAGAGGTATAGATGTTGAAAACTGCAAAGTACTTCTAAGAAAAATTCAACCTAAATAAATGAAGAGATATGCTGTGTTCAGGAGTCAGAAGATAATATTAAGATTTCAATTCTCCTCAAATTAATCTATAAATTCAATATAATTCCAATCAAGATACCAGCAGGCTTTTTTATTTTTCTAGTAGAATTTGACAGACTAAATTTGATATGGAAATGCAAAGGAAGAGGGCAGTGTGGATAAAAACAGCTTTTAGGTTATGAGTATTTGAGTGTGTCACTTGAGAAAGCAGCCAAAGAAGAGGAAAAGAGGTAAAAGAAACATGTGAGAAGATGTTGGGCATAATTGAAAAAGAATAAAGTTGGAGAACTAAAACTACGTGATTTTATTTTATTTTTGTTTTTTTTATCCTCACCCAAGGACATTTTTCCATTTTTTGTTCAGGTAGAGTGGGATGGGGAGAGAGAGAGAGAGAGGGAGAGAGAGAGATATTGACGTGAAAAGGGACACATCAAGTGGCCACCAACCACACGACCAACCAGGGCCAGGGACAAACTGCAACCGAGGCATGTGCCCTTAGCGGGAACTGAACCGGGGTCTCTCTGGACCGCAGGCCAACGCTCCAACCGCTGAGCTAAATCTACGTGATTTTAAAGATTATTATAAAATTCCAGTAATCAAGACACTGTGGTATGGGCGTAATGATAGACAAACAGATCAAGAGGACAGACTAGAGAGTTCATTAACTCACACATATATAGTCTATTGATTTTCAATAAAAGTGCAAATGCAATTCAATGAAGAAAGGGTAGTCTTTTCAACAAATAGAGCCAAAATAATTGTTTTTTAAAAATCTCGATCTATATCTGATATCATATACAGAGAGTATCACAAAATGAATCATAGACCTAAATGTAAAATCTAAAAGTATAAAACTCCTAGAAGAATACATAGGAGAAAATGTTTGTGATCTTGGGTTAGACAAAGTTGCTAATATACTACATCAAAAGCATGATCCACAAAAGAAAATCATTGATGAATTGCACCTAGGAATTTTGTTCTTTGAAAGGCAATATTAGTAGAAGTAAAAGACAAGCCATAGAATGGGGAAAAATATTTGCAAATCACCTGTCTGATAAAGGAGTTGTATTTAGGATATAAATAAATATTCAAAATTGAGTGATAAGAATACAGACCATTCAATTTTTAAAATATGGGCAAAATAATTGAACTACCAAAAAAGACATGGTGCAAATAAGCTTGTGAAAAGTTGCTCATAGTAATTTGTCATTAGGAAAGCAGAAATTAAAACCACAATGAGATACTATTATACACCTTTTGTTTGTTTTTTTGTTTGTTTGTTTGTTTTGTTTTGTTTTTATCCTCACCCGAGGATATTTTTCCATTTTTTGTACAGATAGAGTGGGAGGGAGAGAGAGGAAGGGAGAGAGAGAGAGAAACATCGACGTGAAGGGACACATCGAGTGGCTGCCACCCGCACGACCAACCAGGGCCGGGGACAAACTGCAACCGAAGTACGTGCCCTTAGCGGGAACCGAACCCAGGTCTCTCTGTACCGCAGGCCGACGCTCTAACCGCTGAGCCAAACTGGCCAGGGCTATTATACACCTTTTGGAATGGCTAAAGAAGACTGACAACATTAAACGCTGATAAAGATGAGGAGTAATTGAAAAATTTCATATACAGTTTGTGGGAATACAAAATCATATAACCACTTTTTAAAAATTTGTAGTTTATTTTTAAAATTGAATATTTACATACCATGTTACCCAGCATTCCAAACCTAGGTATTTATCCAAAAGAAACGAAAGCATATGTTCATAAGTTATGAACAAATGCTCAAATGTTCACAGCAACTGTATTTGTAATAACCCCAAACCCAAAACACCCAAAATACCCATAACATGGAAAAATACTCAGCAATAAAAAGGAATGAACTATTTATATATGCAAGAACGTGGATGACTGTCAAAATAATTATGCTAAGTGAAAGAAGACAGAAGAAAGTAGATACTGTAGGATTCCACTTACATAAAATTCTTTAAAAATGCAAAATAATCTATAGTTACAGAAAGCATCTTGGTGGTTGGATGGGGATTCAGGTCAGGGGACAAGGAGGGATGTATGGGAGGGATTGTAAGGGGCATAAAGAAACTTTTGGGGGTGATGGGTAATTTATTATGTGATGAAGGTTTCATGGGTATTTATGTATATCAAAACTTATATATTGCCCTGGCTGGGTAGCTCAGTTTGTTGAATCATCATCCCCATTTGCCAAGGTTTGGGGTTCAATCCCCAGTCAGGGTACATACAAGAATCAACCAATGAATGCATAAGTAAGTGGAATAACAGATTGATGTTTCTTTCTCTCTCTCCCCGCCTTCCTCTCTGTCTCTCTAAAATCCAATAAATTTTTTGCCCTGGCCAATTTGCTCAGCAGTTAGAGCATTGGCCCGTGGTCCAGAAAGACCTGAGTTCAGTTCCCACTAAGGGCATGTACCTCGGTTGCAGTTTGTCCCTGGCCCCAGTTGGGGTCGTGTGGGTGGCAGTCGATGCGTCTCTCTCACTCTCTTCCTCTCACTCTATGCAAAAATGTCCTCGGGTGAGGATAAAAACAAATAAACAAAACTCCATAAAAATTTTTTAAATGATATAATTTAAAAGTACACAATTTATTGTATGTCAGTTATACCTCAATGAAACCGTTAAAAGCAAACACTATTATTGTTGCTAATTGTGGAGGCTGGAGCAGGATAAAGACTATGTGGAGAATGAGCAAGTATAACATTTAGCATTCCTTAAACATAGAAAAGAACTTCCCCTGAATTAATTCTGTTAATCTGACTGATTTTGTTGTATTCTGTCTTAGAGAATAAAATGCAGTTTAGCCCTAATTGGTTGGTATACTTTTTGATATACTTTTTAAGCTCTTTGTTGACTGTTTTTGGCTTTTTCTTGGCCAATTAGTTCTTCAGAGGAAATGAAAGGAACTAGAATTCAAAGCAATCTGTTTCTTCTTGCTAATGGCTATTTGATAAAAGCTCAGTCAGGAACAAATAAAAACTATTGACTAAAATTAGATATTAAAATTAGCTATACATTTTAATGTCACTGTATCCCAAACATTCAACAGCATGTGATTTATTTCTTAAAAAGCTTGATTAATTCTGACACAAAAGTGAAAGAGATTAATATAAAATTGGAGCTTATTTATCCACAGTCAGGTGAAATTATCATTTGAAATCAAAGTTACCTCAAACACAGTCAAATATCATTCAAATAAAGTGAGTTCTAAAAAAAAATAAATGTAACTGGTCATGGAAAGTTAAAGAAAAAAAAGTTGCAACCTATAAACTTCTCATGTACTACCTACCTGTCTGGCTCGAAAGAGCTGTGCTTGCGCAATATCAGAGATGACTTGTTGTACTGAGAGAGGGATCTCAAGTTTAGGGATCTCTGATCTATCAATGTCTTTTATGGACATGATGGTATAATCCACAACTTCATTTTCTGATTCAGAGTCATTGTCTATCTCATTTTTCATTTTGACAAATATTTTGAAAAGTTGAGTGATTTTCTTTTATTTCTTCTTTTTTTCTCACAGAATATAAACAAGTGCTAATAAATGTGTCCACGAGTAAACTAGAGGAGGTCTTTTCTGCTCTCAAAGATTGTGATTAACCCTGCTACTAATCTGTTGCTAACCACAGTGTTCTGGTCCTCGTGATGTCATAATAGACCCATTGTGACATTATCATTGACTCAAACATTTAAAGAGTGCTTACTATATGCAGAGAATTAGGCATTCTATATGCTGTGATGGTAGAAGGGTTAAGAGGGGAGGGAGGGTAGAAAAGAATAGACAATAGGAACGATAAAAAAAATAGAAGATATAGCCCTGCTTACATGAGCTTAAAATCTAGGTGTTAGAATTCAAGATTCAGTGTATTAAATGTAACTACTGGTTCTTCTCTCTTCTTGAAATTTTGCTTAAGAATTTTTAAACCTGTAATGAAATAATTATGTTACAACATCCTCAGCTGCCACTCAACTTTTCCTAGACATGTAGTAACTTAGATATTATTTGAATGATGATCATATTCTTTGCACTGCCTAGTTGCCCATTTTTTTTTTTCAAGGAACTTGACTGAAGAAGGCTTTGAAGTTCCAGAGTTGGCTCCAGAAATTGAAGGGAATGCTAGAGACAACTTTTTAAATGAAAGAGGAATACTTTAGGCAGTGTCTTTGATTGCAGAAGACTTGAAAGGATTTAGTAGGCTGGAGAAATTAAATGATGGTGGTTTTGTTGACTGTGTAGCTTTCTTATTTTTTAATTAAAAATATGAAAAAGTACAGAAAGTAATATATTATAGCCATGTGCCTATCACCTAGAATAAAAAATACTAACATTTTGTCATATCTTCACATATTTTTTCAATAGAAGAAAGCATTAGATATAAAGTTGAAGTCTCCTTTGCTGTTCTCCCCAGACTCCTTCTTTCCCCTCTGTCCCTTTTTAGAGGCAATAACTATCATGAATTTGATGTATTTATGTGTAGCTTATGTCTTTTTACTACAGGTGTATGTATTTGTAAACTATATAGTATAATTTTGTAGGTTTTAGATTTTATACAAGCTGTGGATGTATAACAATTTCTCTATAAGAAGTTCCTATGTTGAGTCCTTACTATAAACTTATTGTAAATTTAGTCCTATGTTGAGTCCTTGTTGTAAACTTGTGAAGTTAAACAATTGATATGTTGTAGGCTGTCAGAGAAAGGGCAAAAGAAGATTATAAAGTACTTGTCTTTTAAAAAATATTAATATACAGAGAGAAAATTAGATATTTTTCCTTCTCTTTAAGATCCTGTTGTCTAAGTTACTGCCTCCTCTGTTTTCCCAAGTCACTTTGTAAACTTCTATTACAGTACTTATCTCATTGAAGTGTAAGTATTATTTGTTTCTATCTACCAGTTGGTGGACTAAAAACCAGATCCTGTACTTAGTTTTCTTTTTCTAACATTTGGTATATTCTTTCTTGGTTTCTCTACAAAAACCATCTAAATTTGGATATCTATTATAGTTTCAGATTCTTCTCCTTACAGAAACTTTTCTAAGTCCCAGGATACTTTGTTTCATTGTTAGACTGCCCACCCTGCCCCTAGTCATAAAATATTACTCCCTCCTTTTCTGTGAGTCACAATTAAGTGTATTTATTCAAGGAAGTTAAAAAATGTTTTCTGAACAATTAAACAAAAATATTTTTATAGATGTGAGATTTGATTAAAATATCCATCATTATCCAGCATTTCTTGTCATTAGCAATTAATTTAAGTACTTTGTTGATAATAATATTACATTGTGAGATCCTTAAATTACTTTTATTTCTTTTGATTTTTTTACATTGCTTACTCCAATAGGCATTCACAGAGCAGCCAACATGCTTGTTAACTAAACTAACTTAGCATATTGTGCTTTCATATTTTTTATGCAGCATAGAATTTATCGGCAACTGGATATGAAGTGTTTTTAAAGCAAATTTAAAACTCTCTTCTTCTTTTTCAATTTGACAAGCATTTGTTGAGACAATACTATGCGACTACCATTATCCTAGACTGTGAAGAATATGATAGAGTACCTGTAAAGAAACAAACAAAAAAAGAGAATAACAAGATAGAATATAATATTCAAGTGCTAACAAGGGACATGAAGAAAAGATCTGTGGGGAGCACAGTCTTTGGGAAAACCTTATGGAGAGAGAAGGTTGATTGACAAATGAAGGCTTTCCAGATAGGGAAGACATTTTGAGCCATGGCTTTGGAGGTGAGTGCTGAGATTCTATTTGGGGGCTGGGGGTGGAGGGGAAGTGAAAGAGTGAAGAAATTGGTTTAATTGAGCTGAAGTAATGTTTAGTTTACTGGTGATCATATTAGGAAGAGTGTGGGACACAAATATAAGCAATTTGATGGGGGAATTAATTTGTTATTTAAGTGAAAAAGTAAGAAGATTAATTTGAGGTCAAGTAAGGGAAATTACGTGGGATCAAAATGGTCTTGAAAGCAAGTAACAGGAGTTGGGTGAAAATGAAACCTTCACTTCAGTAAGATTTTATACATTATAGAATGGAAAAAATCCACCGGGAAAAATCAAGAGATGATTATTTTAAAAGATGAGTGCCTGAACTAGGATATAGAAGTGGGGCTGATGAGGGAGGGATAAAGTAAATCTTACAAGGTCTTGTTAAAGATAATAATAAATTTGGATCATCTAACAGAAAATTATAAAGATAATTTAAAAAAATATTTTGTTTTGATTGCTCTGCCTGGGGAATAGCCTTCTGTCTGTCTCACTGCTTCACTAATAAACTCATTTTCACTTTAAACTCTAAAAAACTTTTTTTTTTGTTTTTATTATATTCCATTTTAAGTGATGGGAGAGCACCAAACAATGGCTATCTAGAATAAGTATTATAAAGCAGCATTGTATTAAGCGCAGCTATGGGTATCTGATTCAAGCTAACATGGGCAAAGTTCTCTAAAGGTGTGTCTAAGTGAAACACGCCCTCCTAGAAGACTTTAACTGTAAAATGGGGATAATAGTATTTCTTGCATATGGTGGTTTTAAAATTAATTCACGTAAAATACTTAGAATAGTGCCAAACACACAGTAAGCATTTAATGCTGCAGATGCTATTACTATATTTACTATTACTGCTTTTTTTCTTCTTCCCTACTTTTTTTCTGTGAGCCACCACCTTTTCGCTTTTCGACAGGGTTGGGCGTTCCTTCAGAATACTTAGCAAAAAAGAAAGAAAGACACTTGGCACAAGCTCGGCTTTTTATCAGCTTTAGATTTTGAGCTATGAAACTGCGAAATTATAGCCATGGTAGCTATCCATTTGGCAATGGATGGAATGCAGTAAGATTTTTATGCAGCCCCGTTGCACAGAATGGTGCCTTCCTCGACCGTTTTCCTCCTTTCCCTAGGGCAGATAGTACATTCCATACTGCTGCTGGAAAAGGTGGTGCAAAAATTCCGTGCGCGGAGGGTTTTCTCTTCAACCGGAAGCAATTATTTTTTCGGAACCGGAAACAGTTACTGTTTCAAGGGAGGTGCGACTGGGCGGGTCAAGCCTCAGCGGCTGACGGCGGGGGAGGAGCCGGGTCCACTGCCGGGTGGTGGGGCCAGGCGAGTGTCCTTATCCTAGCGTCTGGGGCTCCGGCCTGTAAGCCAGTTGGAGTAGCGTCAGCGAGAACAGTTGGGCCAAACGGGGGAGACATGTTGCTCTTCGTGGAGGTGAGTGGACTCGGTAATCTCGACCTGCCTTGAAGAGAGCAGGAGTGTGTAGGCGCCGGCCGGTCCCACCGCCATGTGACTTTCCAGGCCGTACACGCCGCGGAACCGGCAGATAGGCTGACACAGCACCTGGGCCGTGCAGGCCTGCGGCTCCGCTTCTGCGCTCTCATACTTTAGGAACTTATGGGAGGTGAGGGCCGGAGTAGGAGAACATTGAAAGTGGAGAATCGAGACTTGTCTGGTGTGGGGTGAGGATCAGAGGAAGGAGAAAGTGTCCCATATGGATCTCCTAAAGGAGCAAACAGGCGCGGAGCGGGGGGAGGAGTGCGGGGGGCGGAGTCTTCGGAGAAAAGGGTAATCAGGTGGGCGCGTTCTAGGGGTTGAAGCGAGGTCTCGCGGGGCCCTCTGGGAGAGAGGCGAGCAACCTGTGGGGCAGCGGAGGGAGGAAGGTGAAATTCGGTATGTGTTTGAAAAGAAAGTTGAAAGCTCTTTTTAGGAACCCCCACCGAATTTTCTTTGGTCCCGGTCTCTAGGTCTCTGGAACGTTCTGTGGGTGGAAAGTGAGTTACTGTGAACTCAGGAGTCGCCAGTAGGGTTTGGAAGCTTTGAAAGGCACCGCTTTGACCTTTCGGAGAAGTTATTCAAACAGCGGCTCCGGGATGAGGGCTTGCTTTTTTGAACGGATAAAGCCCTTTGCAAGGAAAATTCCAAGAATGAGAAAAACCTAGTTCGGGGAAAGCCTATTTTTCTATTACTTAACAATGTAAATACCTTCCCCACCCCCCCCCTGTAATTGGAACGTCAGCTGTTGGCCTATTTTAATTTTAGGTAGTGGATACCTGCTTTACACAAATACACGAGGTTTAATTTCTCTTATTTCTGTCTTTCTCTTGTGTGCAGTGAGCATCAGCTGACTGCCTGGCTAAAGCTTTGAGTAGATTCCAGATCTTACTGTTCTTGCATTGTGAAAACGTCAAACCAGCAAAGCTGCAACTTCGCAACTTGGCACTTGTTAACTATGCCCGTAAAAAGAATGTTTTCAATGAGGGAAGGAATTTACAGGTTGTATAATGGATCGCCAGTCAATGGCTAGTCTTTTTGGGGGAAGGGAAGGGTCTTATTCTGTAATATTCCGTGTAAAGAAAATACATGCTCTTCACTTTTTTGTCTAATCAGTGTATCATAAATGTGAGATCTTTAAATTGGGTTTTAAATGGACACAGCTACCTTAGAGTATGTCCAACATTGATAATAAACATTGATTGGAATATTCCACGTGAATCACGAAAAGTTTTAAAATTAATTGAACCCATTCTGTTGACCGACTTTTTATACTTGTTTTTTTCTGGGTAGAATAAGAAATTAGATATGATTTTAAACAATGCCAGTTTGTGTTAGGAATGTTATGCCGTTTAAATGCTGCAGATTTAAGTGTGCATGTGTTTTGCCAGGCAAAAGAAGGACTGTGAAGTTTTATTTATATCAACATAATTACAAAATAAACTTTTGAGTTCCAAATGGATTCCTTTGGCTTTGTTAAAATGTGAACTTTGATAATAGCTCCGTTTATTGAGTGTTGAAGCTAGATCCTCTCTTGTTTTTAAAGCAACAATGCAGTGTTTTATAGATGAGAAAATTGAGGTGGAGAGGTTAAGTAACTTTGTAAAAGTTAAGTAGTGGAATTGAGATTTAGATACAGGTCATTCTAATGACAAATCATAGCTCTCACTAAACTGTTAACATAAAATTAATGTTTCCATTAATTTTCTTTGTGAATAAGTATGTGGTTTAAAATTTTTCTCCTAATGAGTTTTATCAAAAATTATGTCACTAAATACTTGGGGCAGAATATATGATATTAAAATCAGTTAAAAAAAAAACCCAACACGCTAGTCATTTGGCTGGCATTTTGTTAACTAACCTTTGATCCTTTTAACTTTGTGGTATAGGAATTATTCTAAATAAGTGAACCCAATCTCAGAAATTTGGTGTCTAAGGTCATTCAGGTGTGAATAATATGGGGACTAAAGTCTGAAGTCTGGTTTCTAGAACATAAATCTCTGGCTCCAGAACTTACTTTTGCACTTTCCCCTATGCCAAGGGTTCTTAATCTGGGTCCCTAGATAGAATTGGGGAAGTCCATGGACTTGGTTAAGGTTAAAAAAAAAATGCCTATTTATTTCCACTAGCTTCTAATTGAAATCTAGAAGTGAAAATTCTTGAAATTTCAGTGGATGCAACAAGAGAAATATTTTCATATCATATTACAGTTTTTACAGATGATATCTTGAAATATTGTTTATACTCAGTACTCTTTATTATATGTAAAAAATCTTGTTATTTAATGCATGGATAAAGCACATTTATTACTAAACTAGAAATGTAAAAATACTTTGATGTATATAAATTGGTTTATTTTGTGATCCTAAGTATATTATATACTTAAAAACATTCCGAGAAGAAGTCCATGGCACAGGAGAGGTTAAGAACCACTTAACTATAAACCAAGTTGCATGTGGATCATCTTTGGACTTCTCTAATCTGGGAATCTATGAGTCCTCTCCAGTTGTGTTCAAAATCTTTTACTGAGTGCATTTTTCTGGAGAGACTCCAGTTTACTAATTTATAACTGGAATCAGTGGGATAGATAATAGTAATAATAACAGTAATAGTATAACAGTGGTATGCACATGTATTGTGCTTACTGTGTCAGGCCTGTTAAGTGTTTTTACATATATGCACATATAAACGTCTGTTCAAGCTTACATAGGAGATAGGTAGCAATATTATCTCTATTTTAGAGATAAAGAAGCTAAGGCACAGAGAATTGAAGAAACTTGCCCAAGATTGTACAGCCAGTGAATGTTTAGGCTGCAGATAGAACATCTAAATTACTTAGATTTTTATGCTTCATTGAAAATCTACAGGCAAACAAGGAATCCTATTTTAGTAATACTTAAGTAACTTGGTTTTGCAGCTGAAGGGCTGTACCCTGTATTGACTCTAGTAGTTTATTGTTTTTTTTTTCTCACCTCTGCTTTAAAGGAGACACATACAATGGCTCTCTGGGAAGAGGTGAAAATATTTGGATAATTCACAAAATTGTCAAACATGTCCCAACATAAATTGTTACAACAAATTATGTAAGTTTGAAATAGCCCCTTCTTTTGGCTGCTAGTGAGTTATTTAAATTTTTGAGCACCAAGGAGACAGTTAGCAAATTTTTCATGGTTTTTATGGTTGCTGACATTTTATTCATTTTTTAGATCATCCCCCCACCCCCACCCTAATATTTTCAACCAATTATGTCTGTTCTAGTTGTTTTGCAGGTTTTTTGTTTGTTTGTTGTTTGGTTTGTTTTATTGGATTTCTGTCTGTATTTGAAAATAAATACTTAAAGCAGTGACTTTTATGCACCCTCAGGTGCTTTAATAACTCACATAACTTTTAAAAATTATTTTTAGTTATGGTAAAATACACATAACATAAAATATATCCTCTTAGTTATTTTAAGTGTATAGTTCAGTGGTATTAAGTACATTCACATGATTGTGCAACTCTCACCACCATCCATCTCCAGGACTCTTCATCTTGCAAAACTGAAACTCTGTACACATTAATCAACTCCCCATTCTCCGTTTTCCCCAGATCTTACATAATTTTAAAAATAATTTGTCTGCTCTGGCTGGTGTGGCTTACTGGTTAGAGTGTCCATCCTCAAACTGAAGGGTCATGCATGGGTGCAATTCCTAGTCAGTGACATGTACCTGGGTTGCAGGTTCCATCCTAAGCATTCGGGAGGCAACCACATGATGTCCCTCTCCCTCATTCTCTCTAAAAATCAATAGAAAAAAATATCCTCGGGTGAGGATTAACCAAAAAATAACAATAATAATAATAATAACAATTTCTCTGACTTTCCATTTTGGTGTATTGGGTCAGTGCTCTAACCAACTGCACTTCCCAGCCAGGGCCAGAAATGAATTTTTAAAATAATGACTTAGGCCCAGCTGGTGTGGCTCAGTGGTTGAGCATCGACCCATGCACCAAGAGATCACCAGTTCAATTCCTGGTTGGGGCATGTGCCCAGGTTGTGGGCCCGATCCCCACAGGCACGCAGGAAGCGGCCAGTCGATATTCTCACTCATCGATGTTTCTATCTCTCTCCTTTTCCCTTCTTCTCTCTCTAAAATCAATAAAGAAAAAAATAAAAATAAAAAAAATGACTTAGAAAAGAAGAAAGTGCCTAAATGAATTGTGAAGTGATTGCCAAGAAGAATTAATAAATGAATAGCTAAGTGACTTATGAACAATTTAATTTTGGAATGTTCATTGCAATTAGATGCAGATTTTAAAAATGAATGAAAACATTTTCAACTAAAAATATTTTTAGATATAATGACTGGAAATAAAGTAAAAACTATTTTCAAGGTATGAAAAGTGGAATAAAATGGTCAGGTGAACATAAAGATGTAAAAGTATCTCATGGTGCTTCAAAGTACAACATGTAAAAAACCAGACTCTAGAAATATTCAACTATTTTGTATCAGTTTTGGTTTGTTTGGGCTGTATTGCCAGCTTCATGTTACTTCCCAGTTAATGGAAATGATCCTTAATACTAGACATGTATTTTAAAAAGATTCTGACCCCGTAGTTAGAAATGGGGTCCGAATCTGTAATGCAGAAGAATGAAATGGAGAGGAAGTTGAGAAACTAATCCATCTGTCAGTTTGAAGTTATAAAAAAGATTCTAACCTCTTTGAATATCCTTAAGTGAAAATGAAAAATGACTAGCTCTGATCGTGTTGATAGCATTTTATATTCTGTGTTTTCCTTCAAGTTTAATTCTTGGAGGTTTTCAGTCTTCTAGAAAACATTGTAAACTTTTGTATTAATTCACTGTGATTTTCTGTAAGGGTTTTGGAACCCTGGGTTCAAATATTAGCTGTATGACCTCAGGCAAGTGAGGACTTTTTTTTTTTAAGATGTCTGCTTAAAAA